CAATGTAGATTTTGATGAATTTCATTAAAAATAGCTCAAAGACTAATATTTTCTTTGAGATTTTGCACACAAAAAAAGCCCAGCAACATTTGTGTCCGGATTTTCCCTTTTTGAAATATGGCAACCCCTTGCCTTGGCTAGATTCCACCCTTGTTGTCTGGGTTTTGTTTTTGCTCTAAATTAAAGCTGATATTCTCCATTATACTTACACAATGTGATCCCCAAAGCCGCATGAGATATAAACTGCCCTGGGGAAAATCCAAAGATGTATAAGTGATGCCAACACAATCCTACTGGTGCAGGTGAAGCCGGAAAAAGAAGAACATTTTATTTCTAACCGGTGCCCTGACAGATGGGAGGTTTTGGCAAGCTTCCTTTGTGCTCGCAAGGGTACTTTGCCGTTCAGGTGGCAATTGAATTCAGCAACACAGGCAAGCGCTCCCTGGCTCTCCCAGGTGCTAGACACGACGTCACACAGGCAGAATGTCTTGGCTCAGGAACAAGCAAAGAAGAAGAAGAAGAGAAGGAGGAGGAATGTTCCTGTCTGGGGAAGAGATTTCTGCAACTTACACTTTTGGGGGGCGAAGAAGAGATTGGTGGTTCTGTAGGAACAGATGCTTCTTGCTGACCTTTGGATATCAGACACTTGGCACAATGTCAAGCACTTGGGTTGTACAGGAAAAATGATGGCCTGGATCCAGTCCTAGTCCTAGTTGCCAGCTGGCAACTCCAGATAAGGACAGGCACACTCAGCCTTGCCGTGACGGCTGAACTTTGAAGAGTGAGTTTCAGTTCTGCACATGTGCTGGTAACTTGGAACGCAATACAAATTTCTGCATTCTGGATGCCGAAGTTTTAAGATATGAGAAATTAGGAACCACATAGAGGTAGAAGGAAGTCATTAAATAAGTCAGGGAGTAAAACCAGAGATTAGGCATAGATAAGAAAGTAAGAGTAGCAAGGAGAAATCGATAAGGTGAAGATAAACAGACTTCTTACTGGAAATAAATGTTTATAATGATGGTTCATATTTCTTAAAAAACTGATAAGATTTTTCTTTTAACTTTGTATTTTTCCTATTTTTCTCCTCTTTTCTACTTTTCCTTTTCTTCTTTTCTATTTTCTTTTTGTGTAATTTTTTTTCATAACAGAACAATGTGTTTTATTATGTTCCATTTTTAATGTGTAAATAAAGATATATTTTTAAAAAAGGAATGCAATCCTGAGCATATTTTCTGAGAGCCAGTGTGGTATAGTGGTTAAGAGTGGTAGTCTCGTAATCTGGGGAACCGGGTTCGCGTCTCCGCTCCTCCACATGCAGCTGCTGGGTGACCTTGGGCTAGTCACACTTCTCTGAAGTCTCTCAGCCCCACTCACCTCACAGAGTGTTTGTTGTGGGGGAGGAAGGGAAAGGAGATTGTTAGCCGCTTTGAGACTCCTTAAGGGGAGTGAAAGGCGGGATATCAAATCCAAACTCTTCTTCATATTTTACTGAGAAGCAAATCGCATGGAGGCTGAGGGAGGCTGCTTTCTAGTAAGTATGTTTGGAATCTGAGCAAGAGGCAGCAGAAGTGTATAAAAATTTGCTTTTCTCTCTCTCTCTCTCATGACACTAAAACTTTGGAGCATCCAGCGGAGCTGAATGCTGGAAGAGTGAGGGCAGAGAAAAGAAAGTGCTTTTTCACACAGCATTTTGTAAAGTGGTGGAATTCTTTCCCACAAAAGGTCACAGAATCATAGAGTTGGGAGGGACCCCATGGGTCATCTAGTCCAACCCCCTGCCATGCAAGAATAATGATGATGGCTACCAACTTCAATGGCTTTGAAAGGGGATTAGATACATTTGTGGAAAATAAGGCGACCAGTGCCTACTTGCCCTGATGGCTATTGTAGTGTTTGCCCGTTCGTTTGAAAATGTCTGTACAGGGGAGAGAGAAAGGGTTAAAATGTGGACCAATAGGAAAGCGGGAGGCGGAGTCTACCTGTTTATAAAAGGGCTTAGCCCGAGGTTTGGGTTGTGGGTAGTTGTTTGGTTGGGAAAAGGCAGTTGGAAAAGCAGTTGGCAGGCAGTTGAAAATAGAGAGACAGTTGGTGCAGTGGGTTCGAGTGTGAGGGAGGTAGAAGAGATAGAGACAGGATAAAATAAGACTAAGAAGGTAAAGAGTAGCAATGTTTGGAACATAGCTGTCAACGTTTCCCTCTTTTTAAAGGGAAACTCCCTTATTCTGAATAGGATTCCTCGCAAGAAAAGGGAAAAGTTGACAGCTATGGTTTGGAATGCGGTTAAAGTTTGTTTGTGTCTGCAATAAACTACACTCTTCTTTGTTAACTTGAGAACCTGACTGAGATTAAAGTGATTTACCAGGAAGGACCTGGTTGGTAGCAGTGGATTAGTGGTGTATGGGTCAATAGTCCGTGAGACAACCGGGGGCTCCGTACGACCACCACAAAATGTTCTGCTGCCACTCTTTGAGGCATTATGTTTCCAAATTACCGGTTGCTGGGAATCCCAGGAGACAAGAGTCCCATTGTGCTCAGGTCCTGCCTGTAGGCTTCCTATGGGTGTCTGGTTGGCCACAGCAACAACAAGGTGTTGAATCAAATGGCCTGGTCCAGCAGGTTCTTCTTATGTTCTTATGTTAATTGCAGCCTTTGGTCCCCACCCTGCACTCGGCTCTCACCTGTGGCTCCTAGATGCTGTCAGCATGCGACAGTGACTACACCTGGGAAACAGCTTTGACTGGCTGGCTAAACCAGGGGCTAGGGGCTGGACTGAGGAATTGTGAGAGCCACCCACTCCTTTTTATGAACCTTTCCAAGGGCAGGAGGACAGTATTGATTTAGAACAGTGGTTTGCAGAGGGACATAGTCTAGAGGGCAAAAGCTGGGAAATACTGGGTGAGAATACCTAGAAGAGGGAATACCAGGAGAGGGACAGCTGGCAGGACAGCATTCCTGATCCCCCCTTCACCTAAGACTAGATCAGGCACATCCAACAGGTAGATCATGGTCTACTGGTAGATTGCGGGGTGTTCCTGGTAGATCTATGGTCTCTCAGGGATCTCCCCCCCCCCAAAAAAGAATAAAAAAGCTCAATAACTACTGTTTCGTAAAAAAAAAGTTCAACCACTCTGGCTTCCTAAGAAAAGCTGAACAACTTTGCCTTTCCCAAAAAAGCTCAGCAACTTTTGGTTTCTAGCCAAAAAGTTGACCATCAGATTAAGGTCCACTATTTGACTGCGGATTCAGGACCCTAAACTGTGTTTTATATAATTGACATTTGATTATGTTCTGTGTATATCGCAATGCTCATTCAGTTTCATTCATTCATTCATATATTCCATTTCCTTCATTCAATTGCTTCCTAAAAAAAGCTGAACAACTTTGGCTTCCCAGAAAAAGTCCAACAACTGTGATCCATCCAACGACAATGGGTAGATCACTGCTAGTTTTTTTACACTGTGAGTAGATCGCAGCCTCTTGGGAGTTGGACGTCCCTGGACTAGGTGGAATTTGAGAGTAATAGAACAGAAAGTACAGTGGCAACAAGATCAGATTACCCAACGTAGGAGTGACGTAGATTAATTGGGGACGGAGGGGGTGAACATGTACTGGGAGCAATGCCATTTCTAGAGAGATATGCATTCCTTTATCTGTGGCTGTGATTATTAAAGAAACTAACTGGTAAGGGACACGGGTGGCGCTGTGGTCTAAACCACAGAGCCTAGGGCTTGATGATCAGAAGGTTGGCAGTTCAAATCCCCGTGACGGGGTGAGCTCTTGTTGTTCGATCCCAGCTCCTGCCAACCTAGCAGTTCGAAAGCACGTCAAAGTACAAGTAGATAAATAGGTACCACTCTGGCGGGAAGGTAAACGGCATTTCCGTGCGCTGCTCTGGTTTGCCAGAAGCGGCTTAGTCATGCTGGCCACATGACCCAGAAGCTGTCTGTGGACAAACGCCGGCTCCCTCGGCCTATAGAGCGAGATGAGCACCGCAACCCCAGAGTCGTCTGCGAGTGGACCTAACGGTCAGGGGTACCTTTACCTTTAACTGGTAAGAACGCTCCTTTCTTTTGATCTGCTTATATACTGCCACCAAGGGAGGGATCCCATTCCCCGAAGCCTGACACCAGGTGATGGTAGCCGATGGGTCTCAAAGCCTCAGTGACTTAGGGACCTTTCCCCTGAATGCAAGACAGGCTCCAGTGGATTGAAGGGACAAGACCAAGAACATGCATGTCCCTTTAAAAAAGGGAAGATATGCAACTGAACAAGGCTAACCATGCCTGATGGCCTCTGGGCTTCACAGAATGCTGGGGGCAACTGAGGGTGCATCTCACTACTGTGGTGTTAGAGGGTTACCCCATTCTCCAATGACTCCTTGTGGCTGCTACATTGCTACATTTTTAACCTGCAGATACATATCAGCATCTGATTAAAACTCTTGTTTTATCTCTTTGTCTCTTAAAGGGGCGCATTTCAAAGATGGCTCCATGTCGGAGATTTAAAGTCTCTGAGAGTCTTTCCTGGGCGGACATTTCTCTCTCCCTCCCCTCTGCCAGCCCATTTTATGGGATTTGTAATAAAATACTCTAAATGGCTTACTTAACGGGTCAACCTTTTTTTTCTTCCCTGGTATAATATCGAAACTGCTATTCCCAGCACATTTCAATACACCAAGAAGGAATAGTAGAAATTTACAGCTAATGAAATATTGAGGAGGGTGATTACCTAATCTGCTCCTGGGGACTTGGCAGCCAGGCACACGATAGCTGAGTGCTGTGCTGTCACTGGAGTTTTTCGGGGTATAAAAACTTGCAACATTTTGTTGCAGCGTGGAGCCCTGCAGTTCAGGGTTCCAGGGGCTCCGCTCCATCCCTCCTCCCCAGTTTTATGTTTCCGTCACAGCAGTCAGCAATCCATGAACCCTGGAAACATTTAGGGACCCACCAGACACTTCCTGTTTGTGTGTGTGTGTGTTCTGCAATAACTGAATATTGTAGTAGCTCAGCTTGGTAGAGCACAAGACTCTTAATCTCCTTGTCATGGGTTCGAGCCCCACATAGGGCAAAAGATTCGTGCATTAATAACAATAATAATTTTATTATTTATAGCCCACCCGTCTGTCTGGGTTTCCCCAGCCACTCTGGGAGGCTTCTGGCTGATATAAAAACATAATAAAAGGTCAAACATTCAGGGGGTTGGACTAGATGACCCTCGTGGTCCCTTCCAATAGAGTTCTATGATTCTATAATTGATGCAATAATAGTGCTTAAGTGGTGGGTTTATACTGGATCATCCTGCTTCATTAGTCATTCCATGATGCTTCCCATTGCTGCTGTATTATTGCCAGTGATTTTTCGAGAAAAAGAGATGTCGGAACTCACCATGAACGCCTCCCATGTTTTCTTATAATGGCAATGGCATCCACCTGAGAGGTGCTGGAACTGAGTTTCGGTGAATTCTGGCTAAAAAAAGTCCCGATTATTGCCATCTGGAGGGGGTCTTTTGTCCTATAGTGCAACAAAAGCCGGTGAATGGGAACTGCATCCAGAAGACCAAAAGCTGTATTGAGGAGTTAGTGATATAACATGGAGCTCTCCCTGCCTCTGTTCCTTCCCCTTACCGTGCTCTTGCTAAGTTATTTGATGGTGTGAGAACAGCCTTCAATGTCCTGAGAACGTTGGGAGGAGGCGAAGACCCCACACAGAAGATCCCCACCCCGTAGAGGATAATGCTGGCTACCTTCTTTGATGTTGGACATTGTTTTGGGAAAGTGAGGCATTGGGAGGGGGTGGCTATTGGATGATCTGCACGTAGCCAGTCAGAAGCCACACAGGCTATCTGTAAAATCGGATGGTTTGGGCAGAGTTTCTTTGAAGCTCGTGCACGGACTGATTGGCCGCAGGACCGTGCAAATTGAGGCTACTGGGGGAGTCGCTTCGCTGCTTCTTGAGGGCTTCCGAGTGGCAGATTGAAGTGCTTGCTTGGTACGTACGCATTGCCTGCTGTTTTGGAACAAAACCTGTAATCTTCTCACCCATTTGTGTATTTTGTATTGCTTCTGAATCTCCCTTGCCTTTCTCGCCCTGATCTGGCCACAGTGATCCATGCGATGGTCACCTCCAGGCTTGATTATTGTAACTCGCTCTACGCGGGGCTGCCCTTGAAGCTGACCCAGAAACTTCAGCGGGTGCAGAATGCTGCGGCGAGGCTCCTTACGAGGTCCTTGCTGCGGGAACACATTCATCCAGTGCTTTACCAGCCGCATTGGCTCCCTGTGGAGTACAGGGTCAGGTTTAAGGTGCTGGTTTTGACCTTTAAAGCTCTATGTGGCCTAGGACCCACGGGGCATAAATAAAATTTATGATTATTAATATTATTATTATTTAAAAGAACCACCTTGCCTTTGGTAAGACAGCTGGACAACCTCCCCACCCTGTCACGAACATTTGTGGGATGAAGATTCAGGACAGATGAAGGAATGTTCTTCTTTAATCAGTTTGTACTTAAATGTGGGTGGCACTGTGGGTTAAACCACAGAGCCTAGGACTTGCTGATCAGAAGGTCGGTGGTTCGAATCCCTGCAACAGGGTGAGCTCCCATTGCTCAGTCCCTGCTCCTGCCAACCTAGCAGTTTGAAAGCACATCAAAGTTAAATAGATAAATAGGTTCCGCTCTGGCAGCAAGGTAAACGGCGTTTCCGTGCGCTAATCTGGTTCGCCAGAAGCGGCTTAGTCATGCTGGCCACATGACCCGGAAGCTGTACGCCGGCTCCCTTGGCCAATAAAACAAGATGAGCGCCGCAACCCCAGAGTCGGTCATGACTGGACCTAATGGTCAGGGGTCCCCTTTACCTTTACTTAAACTATGGAGCTCACTCCCAGAGGAGACAGCGATGCTCAACAACCTAGATGGCTTTAGAATAGGGATATCCAACTCCCAAGAGACTGCGATCTACTCCCACTATGACAAAACTGCCAGTGATCTACCCATTGGATTGACCAAAGTTTAGCTTAATTGCTAAAAACTGGAAAAAAGAAACTGCGCCAACAAAAAAGGAATGGCAAGACAAACTGTGTTTGTATATTGAATCTTTCAATATACAAAGAGTATACTGAACTGGCTAGATTAACAGAGGCAATTAGAGATCACACTAGATAAGAGTTTCAAAAAGCACAGGGGAAATGCAGAGAATACTTCACAAAACAGTGCCCTAAAATACACACCTGGACTTGTTTCGATTAATGTCTGCAGGAGACTTTGTGGATATTTAAGTTATAATTAGAAAAATCTTAATAATTATTCATAAAGGAAACAGCTTATAAGAAGTAAATAAGGAGGGCAGATACAGGATAAAGGAAGTCTTTTATTTGGTTGTTTGTATTGTTGCATGTTATGCTTATTTTATTTCTGTATTTGGGTGGGGGTGGATCAACCAGGATCACATGCTCAACCAAGATCAACCAGGGTCGCCCCACAATCGACCAATAGATTACAACCAACTTGTTGGACATGCCTGCTTTGGAAGATGATGAAACCAGTGGAGGACAAGGCTCCCAATGACTACTACCTATGAGGGCTGCCTGCACAGAGGGAGACAGTAATGCTTCTGAAGACCAGCTGCTAGAAGCCACAGGAGAGGATAGTGCCCTCGTGCTTTCAGGCTTCCCATCTGGTTGACCACTGTGGCAACAAGGTGCTGGACTAGATGGACCACTGGCCTGATCTTCTTATGCTCTGATGTTGTGCTCACAATGTGAATGTTCAGCATTGAGGAGAAACCACTGCTCTGCCAGTCAGGGTCCCTGATTGTCCAGGATTCTCACACAGGTGGGGGAGCACTCTGTGCATGCCTGTGTCCCTGTCTGCATACTGGACCCTTCTCATTTTCAGGCCTGTCCATGTTTCCTGTTGTGAACATTACTAGAGGGACACAGAGCCAATTATCAGCAGCATCCACAATGTGCAGGCAATACAGGAACCAACTATTGCATGAGTTTATGCAGGGGATTCCCCAACCTGATGCCTTCCAGATGTTCTGGTGGCTGCACAGCTCTGCCGGCTAGCAGTAATGGGAGTTGCGGTTCAAAGCATCTTGAGGGCACCAGGTTGGAGAAGAGTGATTCAAGGAGAGGGATGACGTCACTGCAGGAACTGGGGAGAAAGACAGCAATGCGCTCTTAATTACATCTTGTCATCTAGGCGTGATGGTTCCTTCCTGTTCTTCCCTCTGAAAGTCTTAGTCTAACTTATTTTTCTTTTAAAAAAAACTTTCTAATGATAGAGACCATCCATGACCTATCTAGTTCGTGATGCGCAGCCTGCAATTTCCTGGTTTTAATTTTCTCCTCCTTGCTTCTGCGGAGGCCAGTTGCTATAACCAGTGGCACAATTATATTTAACTGGTTCTCCCCCCCCTCCTTCTTGACCAGGAAACACATTCTTTGCAACCTGCCCTCCTCACCTTCAACCATCTTTCCAGGACTGTGTGCCATTGTTGTGTGAAAGTCAGACTCCAGTATGCTGGTGACACACAGTTCCATTTCTCCGTAACAGCTGAATCAGGAGGGACCATGTGGGCTCTGGGCTGGTGCCTGGAATGGATGGGGAACATGATCTGAGCTTGAATGCTGGAAAGTTGGAGGCACTGTGCATGGGTTGTTTCTTGTGTCCAACAAATTCACAGAATACAGTAGTACCTCAGGTTACAGGTTACAGACTCCGCTAACCCAGAAATAGTGCTTCAGGTTAAGAACTTTGATTCAGGATGAGAACAGAAATCGTGCTCCAGCGGCACGGCAGCAGCAGGAGGCCCCATTAGCTAAAGTGGTGCTTCAGGTTAAGAACAGTTTCAGGTTAAGAACGGACCTGCAGAACGAATTATGTACGTAACCAGAGGTACCACTGCAATAGAATTGTAGAGCTGGAATACTCTGAACCCTTTTAATCACAATATTCTATTTATATCATTTATAATTAGAAGTACTTTAGAATCATAGAGTTGGAAGGAATCTGAATCTAGTCCAACCCCCTGCAATGCAGGAATCTCAGCTAAAGCATCCACGGCAGGTGGCCATACAACCTCTGCTTAAAAATCTCCAATGAAAGAGAGGCCACAATCTTTTGTGGGAGTCTGATCCACTGTGGAACAGCTCTTACCACCAGAACGTTCCTCCTAATGTTTAGTCAGAATCTCCTTTTTATGCAATTTGCATCCATTGGTTCAGGTCGTGCCCTCTGCTGCAGTAGAAAACAAGGTTGCTCCATCTTCCATGTGGCAGCCCTTTAGTTATTTGAAGATGGCTATCATATCACCTCTCAGCCTCCTCTTCTCCAGGCTAAACATACCCAACTCCCTCAACTGTTCCTCATCAGGCTTGGTTTCCAGACCCTTGATCATCTTGGTCGCCCTGCTCAGAACACATTCCAGCTTGTCAATACCCTTCTTAAAATGTGGTGCTCCAAACCTACCTGGAACACACTTTCCAAGTGTCACTGTTTTCCAGGGACAGTCGCATAGTTACAGAAGCTGTCTCAGTTTCTGATTCGATCCTGGAATGGTGGGCACCTGGGGTTATCTATTGCAATAAATGCATAGCCATTTCAGGTTTGTTTTGAGTCTCCTCCAGCAAATGCAGCTTCCGTGGCTAATCAGAAAGTGGGTTCCTCAGTGACATCTCAGCTAGCCACTCTTGTTGTTGTTTAGTCATTTAGTCGTGTCCGACTCTTCGTGACCCCATGGACCAGAGCACGCCAGGCACTCCTGTCTTCCACTGCCTCCTTCAGTTTGGTCAAACTCATGCTGGTAGCTTCGAGAACACTGTTCAACCATCTCATCCTCTGTCATCCCCTTCTCCTTGTGCCCTCCATCTTTCCCAACATCAGGGTCTTTTCCAGGGAGTCTTCTCTTCTCATGAGGTGGCTAAAGTCTTGGAGCCTCAGCTTCAGGATCTGTCCTTCCAGTGAGCACTCAGGGCTGATTTCCTTCAGAATGGAGAGGTTTGATCTTCTTGCAGTCCATGGGACTCTCAAGAGTCTCCTCCAGCACCATAATTCAAAAGCATCAATTC